CGTTCGTGCGAAGCTCTGCTCCGGATGCACGGGCCCGGGGCTCGAGCGCGCGACAGAGCTGCGAGGGCGGAGGGCGGCTCCTTCTCGCGCAGTGGGACTTTCGCTTGGAGGCCTCCTCGGCGCTCAGGGCCAGGCGCGAACACGTGCGTTGCGTTGCTCCCGTCGCACTTGGGGACCACATCTCAGAAACAATTCCAAGCGCCCAAACAATTCGCCGGCTTAACGGGCCAGAGGCGTGCTAAGATCTCGGGTAACAGGTTAACAGTATTTCTAGTTCGCGCGCGCGTGGCGGCCCCTGAGGATTCCTGGGCGAAGAGTACCTCTGGCGATGCCCGGGCGATACCCGGGCGCTCCAGGAGCCCGCCAGGAGGGCGCCCGGACGCCCCCTAATGGCGGAGCACCCCTGGCCCGATTGGCTCGTGATGGGGCCTCGGACTTGCCCTGCAGAGTCTTCCGCTTCATGGAGACCAACGGCGGGACACCCCGTGGCGCACCAAGGCGCGGCCGCGCGCGGGGGAGCTCGGCGGTTCCGAGCACGAGCGCGCGCGCCGGCTGGTCGAGTTCACGACGATCTAGGACCAGCTCAACGTCGCGAATCTCGCGCCCAGGGAGATGCTGGCTCGGATCGCGCAGCTCCACGAGGAGAGACGAAGGACGACCATTTGGACTCGCGCCTGTTTCTCGGCTGCGACCTCGCCCAGGGCAACAACACCTGCGCGCGATCGCGCGCAATCCTTTCAAGGAGGAGCCCCGGTGGGTAGACTTAGGTAGTCCATTGCCCAACTCGAACGGAGCAGGCCAGCGTTTGGAACGATGTGCGATGATTGGGGCGCCCGCCTGTCATGGCTCCACCTGCCGGCGGGGTTGTTCGAGCAAGTATGCTCCGTGCGTCGCAGAAGACACGACCTGGGGGCCGTCGCTGCGGTCGAACAAGGTCTTGGCTACTTTGCCGAGACTGACTACTTAGGACGAGAGGTAAGGCTAAATTCGCAATGTGGCAACTCGGCCTCCTTTGCAAATGCCCGGGGAGGGGGGTTGCGCCCAGCAGCGACAAGTCAAGGCCGGCATCTCTGCTGACCAATCCCCCAACACCAACATGAAAAAAACAAGGGCATATCGTTTGGAAATGCCAGTGCTGATCATCCGAAAGGACTGCCCTGAAAACCGTGATCACCGAGCAACGATGGAGAGATCTGCAGCCGCGCACCAGGCACTGTGGCCTGGCCTCCTCGAGGAAGATGCCCGGCTCCTTGAGCTCCAGGCTGCCTTTGCAGAGGACGAGCTCCCATGGCCCATCCTGCGGTTGCCGCCAGAGGGCCCCGATGACTCCCCTCGCGAGTGTGCAGACGACGCCAGGGCCTGATGGGTGCATGCAGCCACAGACAGGGCCTGCTCGCGCCTGGCCCACCCGCTCCTCGCCAGGGATGGTTTCTGAGTTTACTATGGCCCAGAACACCAGTTAAACCGCCCAGCTCGTGTGCGCGGCCTGGCGCAAGTCCGCTCAGCGGGCCCAGACTTCCGCTCCATCTGGTCGCCACTTCTGAAGGGCCTGTTCACATTTTCGTTGGCTACCAAGCTGTTGTTGACGGACTTGGCGACCTCTTCAGCAATAAACAACCGCAGCGCACGGGTGCCAAAGCCGACCTCCGGCAAAATATCCACGGGGCCCTCCAGGCCAAACAGGACACGTTCAACGTCCAGTAGGTACAAAGCCACCTGGGTGAGCAAGGTATCAGCGAGGGGCGTACCACGCCGATCGTGGAGGCATTCGACCGCCGCGGACATGAACTTGCCACAACTGGCGCACGCCAGAACAACGTACCACACGACCTCGCCAGCGCAACTGAATGGCGACACAAATTCGCTGCCGTCTTCCACAGCACGGCATTCGCGCTCTATGACTCTCGCCGCCAAACGCTTTCCCGGCAAGGGCTGAACTCAGCAAAATGAAGCCCAATCGTCTCACCATTGGCCAAAGCGGCCTCGAACCACCAGGCTCGCAAGGCGGCCCTGCTCATCTCGACGGCCTACCAGGGTACCAGGGCCCGACTACTTCGATTATCTCGATGATCCATGGGCGGGCCTGCTCGATGTTTTCGACAGCGAGGAATAAGACCCGCTCAGGCTAAGCGCCTCCATGAACGAAAATGAAGGAATCGATGCTTCCCCCTCCCATAGTCACAATAGTGACAAGCGCGGCGATCACGACGATCACCACGACGCGTGCCAACCAAGACTCCCCAACGGAAATGAGCAAACCACCCGCGGTCAACAAGATCATGCCGCCACTGCCAGTCCCGCTCGCCACAAGGCCTCCTCCTCCTCCTCTTCCTCTTCCTCGTCCTCCTCCCCCAGGGGTACGGGGTGCATCGAACGACCAATGGCCGACGACGGAAAAAGGCCCCGGAAGGACGTGGACCCAGCGAACGGATTGAAGGCAATCCCTTACGCAGAACTTCGCAGTGGCCAGACGACAGACAGAGGGTGATCGCGAAAAGGTCCTCGTCGCTAGCACCAACGCGCTCCAGCAGCAGGCGGATCACCTAGACCAATCTCTTTATCGCATCCAGGAACAATCTGCCCCGCTGCTAGACAGGTTCCACCGAACACAAACTGCTTGGGACGGCCTTCGTCAGGCTCTCCGAGCTGGTGCCTCTCTTGGGGCGTCCCTCCAAGGATGCATCCAAATATACCTTATGGTTCAACACGCGGCACATCAATGCTAGCGCCTCCCCTCTCCCTATGGGCTCTGCGAACAGCTGGCACCTGTTCCGTTGCCCTCTTCATGAGCCGCCGTGGGGGATGCCCCAAGGTGCCGCCGTCATTGCCCAAGGCGCTGTACCACGCAGGCCCAAGCGTGTGTACAGCTGGCGTCTCTCTGTTTTTGGGAGTGCAGAAGGAGCGAGCCTCGCCCTGATCACCACGTCCCATTTTTGCTGTCCTGTCGGGGTCCCGACAAACCGCGTCAGGGGGGAGGGTAGTCTCTCCACCCCTGTCTCTCACAAGCGGCACGTTCCGCCCTGCGAGGGTGGCCCAGCGGGAGCTTGTATCCCGCGGGCCTAGACCATCTGTCCGAACTGGTGCGCTCTCATTTTTTGTTTTTTCTCTCTCTCTCTCTCTCTCCCTCTCCCATCCCCCCATCAAGCTCCTCTCGTCCTCCTCCCCCTCGCCCTCCGACTCACACGCGTTTCCCTGTCGGCCCTCCGTTCGCGAATCTCGCATTGCTTCGGTCTCTGTGCGAAGTTTGCCTATCCCCCCACTCTCCCCTTCCGGGCTCTTTTTCTTTCTCTCCCCTTCCTGCCCGATCATCCGATCCTCCTCTGTATAAGCCCCTCGCAGCGGGAGCTTTCACCGACGCGAACGGCAGCGCGAGCTTTCGCTTGCGAGGACAGCGGGCGCACGACCCGACGCACCACTACACTCTCTCGCTGGCGTAGGGGGAACGGAAGTGATGGGCATGGTTCGGAAGGGGATTGTGCCACCATCAGTAAACCTTGGGCGCCCACTACTTCAACTCTGCACGAGCATCTGAAGAACATACTCTGCAGCATATCAGAGCCTCGGTTGACGAATCTCGCGAGGATGGCTGGGAGGCCCCTCCTCCTGCCCAAGGTCTAGCCCACCCGTAACTCCTTCCAGAGATCCAAGCGCTCGCCCAGAAGACAGCATCTCTCCTCCTCGTCCCCCCCCCCGTCGTTGTCGTCGTCGTCGTCGTCGTCGTCGTCGTGGTCGTGGTCGTGGTCGTCGTCGTCGTCGTCGTCGTCGTTGTCGGCGTCGTTGCCGCCGTTGTCGTCGTGGTCGTGGTCGTGGTCGTGGTCGTCGTCCTCCTCCTCCCGGCTGGCCCCACAGTCCCACGGTTGCCCAGCAGGCGTCCAGGGGGTCCCCAGAACCAGGGCTCGGGAGGGGGGCCGTTTTTGGGCGGCGGGGTGGTGGTGGTCCGGGTAATACAAATATAAGAATACGAATATGAACGAGAGGGAGAGAGAGAGAGAGAGAGAAAGAGAGAGAGAGAGAAAGAGAGAAAGAGAGGAAGAGAGAGAGAGAGAGAGAAAGAGAGAGAGAGAGAGAGAAAGAGAGAGAGAGAGAGAGAAAGAGAGAGAGAAAGAGATGGTGTGTGCGTTTGTGTGTGTGTGTGTGCGTGTGTGTGTGTGTGTGTGTGTGTGTGTGTGTGTGTGTGTGTGTGTGTGTGCGTGCGTGCGTGTGGGGGAACGGGAGATCAGTAGTACTTGACGCATGATTATGACAACAAAGGGAAGGGGCACATAGAAAGATGGAGCGAGCAGCCACAACAACCGGGACAGCCATACAAGAGTGAACGACAGAGAGAGAGAGGGATATACAGAAACAGTACATCCATAAAGACAGAGCATTCCAACACATCCTGTGTATATATATATATATATACATAAATGTGTGTATATATAAATGTATATGAGACAGAGGGAGAAAAAGAGTAAGGGGATGATGGGGAAAGGAAGCGAGACGGAAATAGAGGGGGGACAGAGAGAGAGAGATAGAGAGAAAAACAAATAACTCAACACATACTTTTAGGGAGAAACAGATAGAGATGGAGAGAGAGAGAGAGGGAGAGAGAGAGAGAGAGAGATAGAGAGAAGGAGAGAGAGAGGGAGATAGAGAGATGGAACACAAACTGGTGGCTCGGATCGAAGGACTGGTGCTGTGCGAACCCCACACCTGACTTGACTCTCCACCCCTTTTCCTCTCCCCCTCCTCCTCCCTGTCCAACGCTCCGCCACTTTCCACTACCTTGAGCACCGTTTAAGCAATCCCTATCGCTACTGGCGTGATCTTGGCTGCAGCGGTCGACTTACCCACCTAGCTTGGGATCTATGCCTGTTCCTTCGGGTTTTGCGGAGCCTGCCCCAACCTAGGAGGGTGGGCTGGTGGGGCTGAGATGCAACGGTCCAGTGGGGATGGGGATATGTCAGACGATGCTGGTACCTGTCTACGTCTCCCAATAACTGCACCCCATGGCTCGCCTGAGCGTCTATCTCCCACGTCGCGAGCCGGAAGTACGAGGCGTGGGGTCCACCAGCGTAGACCGTCTGGCCTCGACCGGCGCCCGCAAGCAGTTGCGGGCGAGAGAGAAGCATGCGCCCGATCCGCTCGGAAAGAGGCCCGCGGGACGCGGGAGCTTGCTCGCGCGGCCCGAAAGGGCTCGGCCCTGGGCGGCGAAGGTCTTCGAGAGGACACTCGCCTGGAAACCGCTCCTGGTCGACTGAACTCTGCTGGTGGGGGCTCTCGTCCTGCTGGGGCTCCAGGCCGCCAGCTGCTCACCCAGGGTAGTCGCAACTCGTGCAAAAGGGCGCACCTTTGTGCGGTCCTGAGCACACGGATTTGACGTTCTCGGCTCAGACGTCACCCACTCCACAACGACTGCAACTTGTTCTTGATTGGTTCAGACTCGCGACGGCCCAGAGGACAACTCACCAGTGAAATGCTCGCTGTACTATAATTTCGGATCTTCTCTCTCACCCCTCCATCTCTCTCTCTCCTCTTCAATTTCTTCTTCTCTCCATCCCTCTCTCTGTCTCCCATCTGTTTCTTAAATATATGTATCCACTGGGGGACCAACTATATTCTAAGCCCGGGCGGGGGGAAAACCCATCCCCCCCCAAAAAACCGGACTCCCGGGATCTGGGGCTTTGGGACCCTCTGGACGGGCCTCGAAGCGGCCCCCCTGGCCTCGCAGGGCGTTTCGCCAAGGGTTCCCAGCAGACCTAGGGCGATCAGGGGGGTCATCGGAGGCGTCTCAGAGACCCCCATGACAGCGCAAGAGCGCTCCAAGAGTGATCGACGTGACCTCAAGATGGCCCAAGAGGCCTCCAGGACGGCCCCAAAGAGGCCTCCAAGAGCACTCCCAAGAGGCACAAATCATTGATTTTCTGGCAGTTTTTGGTGAATTTTGGGGTTCTCCTCTTTTCGGCTTCCCGACGCTCCAAGACGGCGGTCTTCTGGGCGTCCGAAGCCACCTGGGAGGCTCCAAAATCGCCCCACAATCATCCGAAAAGGGCTTCCAGGCAGTCCAAGAGAGCCCCAAAACGGCACAACACGGGTCCATGATGGCCCTCAGAAAACCCCATGGCGGCCCAAGATGACCCCAAGACGCCCTCCGAAGCATTCCAAATCGTGACCCGGTCGTTCAGGGAAACCGTGGTTGGAGGCAGGGTGGCCCGAGGAAGCCCCCAGAGGCCCTCAGAATACGCTTAGGAGGCCTCCAGAAGGCCTTAAGAAAGCCTCAAACCATTTTTTTAGGCCCCCAGAGGCTCTCCCAGGAGGAGCCCCCGCAAAAAAAAAAACTGAGGAGGATAGGGAGAATGCGCAGGGTATGGCGAACATGAGGAAAAAGAAGCATGGAGGAAGGAAAGCGAATATCATTATCATAGCGGCGATGCCGGAAAAGGCAACAAGGATTTATCGCTAAATCGTCGGCTTGATCTTCCTGCTATTCCGCCTGCAAACCAAACCCCAAGGACCAAGGTGCATGTCCTCCTCATCCTCATCTTCTTATTTGCCCTCTTCATTCTCATCCTCCTCATCCTCATCATCCTGCTCGTCCTCCTCCTCCTCCTACTCGTCCTCTTCATCCTCTTCTTTCTCATCCTCCTCCTACCCCTCACCCTCCTCCCTCCTCAGTTTCCTTGTCCGCCTCCTCATCCTCATATTCCTCTCCCTCCTCCGCCTCAGCCTAACTGGGTGCAACCACCCGTAGTTTGTTATGAATCGAGTGTTTGTTTTTTGTTTGCTACTTCTCTCCCCAGCGCTGGCGCCGCAGCGCGCCATGCCAGCTGCATCAGCGAAGACCGTGAAGACTAAAACCGACAGGTGTCGTGATCGTAAGCGCGCCAAGTCCTTGAATAACTGGATCGCCAAGCCGTGGGTCAAGCAGTAGCTGAGGGAGGCTGCGCAAGACCACCTGCGGAAATACCGCGAGACGTGCGCAGCTTTGCGGGGCGAGAAGGCCGCCCTCGCTCAACAGGTCAAGCGCCAGCGCAAGGACCTTTTCAACATGCGTCGCGATGTCTTCGTGGCCCAGGTGTCGGGGTGGACTTAAAACACTTCTTTGGCCCTTAGGCGCATAGCCACAGCAACGTAACAAGCGAACAACGACGTTGTACCGCCCAATGCACCACGTCACCAACGGACGACAACCGTAAGCCATTAGCAACGCGCAATAACGCAACCACAACATTAAACACACACACACCACCAAACAGCAGCAACACCGCCAACAACAATACAATGCACAACAGAACCCCCACCCAGCGCGCAGCCGAGAACAACCAGCGCGCAGCCGAGAACAACCAGAAGGCTTTCCAGAAGGCCAAGGGCAAGAACGACAAGCTGGAGCACCTGGTCGAGGAAACGGCGCGCTTGAGGCACGGCGGCGCGCCTGAAGGCAGCGAGCAAGGGCTGGCCTTCTAGACAACCAGGAAGCGAGCTTTTGAAAAAAAAACGCTGCCTGCGAGGGTCGTCTTTGGGCCTCTTGGAGGTCCTCCACGCGACCCCTCGGAAGCGGTTGTCCCAGCGGGCCAGCTCTTGCCCCGCTCGCCTTCCTTTCGGCGCCTCGCCGAAAAAGGCGGCAGGCGCAGAAGGCCAGAGCCCAGGGCAAGGCGGAGGGCGCGGCCGCGGCCACGCAGGAGGGGGCGAAGGAGCGCAAGCGCCTTGAGCAAGCCCTTTCTGAGAAGCAGGCTTGGCTTTGGAACAACTACACCGTTGAACGCCGACGAACTTCGGCGCTCGCCCAGGCGCGCTCCTGGGAGGGCGTGGCCAAGTCCGTCGGCCTTCAATGTGCGCCCCCATCCAAGGTCAAGCGTTCTTCTCCGAATTGTCAGGCTAAGTACAACAACCTCTTGTCGGAGAAGTGCCGCTTCATCGCTCTGGCCACGGTCGCGCAGCGGGAGAAGTACTTCGAGCTCGCGAAGAAGGCTCGGAGGAGCATCCGTGACGGGTGCTTCGGCGACCAGTAGGCTGGCTGCCGCCGCTAATGCCGAATTCGGTTGCAAGGCGAGAAAACGAGCACAACTCAAAAGACCGCTGCTGGGGCCAGACCCAGTGAAGGCGAGAAGGGCATCCTGTTTTGGATGCCCCTTCCAGGGGATCCCGAGACGACCGGCGAGGCCACCGCCCCCCTCCGCCAGACCACGCCAAGACGGCTCAAGGAGCTTCGGAGACCGCTCCAAGACGACCCGAGAGGCCTCCAAGACGGTCCTAGGCGGCTCCGATTAGAAGCAACGAAACACGGCAGGGCAACACGCAACATCCAACCAACGAGAAATGCCAGCACGAAGCAACAACTCAATCTTAACGCAGATCATTGGATAAACAAGCGTGCGTGTGTGTGTGTGTCTCGTAAGCGAAAAGGGGGTCCAGCTTCTAGGATGCCCGCGTTGGGGCAGACATCGCAAACGCAATAACATCACACGCACATTGGTCAATAAACGCTAGCAGTGCTCAAGGGAAACGGGCCACCAGCGTGCTTGACACGTATACAAAGCACATGCACGCGAAGCGATGCCGACAGCGAAATCCCACAGACACTACATTGGCACGTGCGCGTGTTCACCGTGAATCACCATCTCGATCTGTCGCAGTCGTGACCGTCGTCGCGTCGTCGTCGCCGACCCTACTTCGGAGCCCTTGCCCAACCCCCCATCCACCTCTCGTTGCCGCTAGCGCTTAGGCCTCTGCAGGGTGCACCCATCGCTGTGATTTCTCTCTGTTTCGCTCTCTTTCCGTTGCTCCTCCTCCTCCTCCTCCTCCTCCTCCTACTCCTTTCCTCCTCCAAATATGAAAACGAAGAGGAAGAGGATGAGGAGGAGGAGGAGGACCAGGAGGTTGAGGATTAGGATGAGGAGGAAACCATGCTATTCACAGTTTTTTTTTGTTTTTTTTGTTTTCTGGGTCAGGGAAGCCACCAAACCATGCTATTCACAGTTTTTTTTTTGGTTTTCCAGAGATCCACAAACATGGCCATGAGGTGCGAACAGCAGTGTTCGGCAGGATCGTGGCCACCAAACCATGCTATTCACAGTTTTTTTGTTTTTTGGTGAGGGATACCACCAAACCCTGCTATTCACATTTTTTTTTTTTGGTTTTCAGGAGGTCCAAAGACCTCTGGGGCACGAAAATGTTCCGGACCTCCTGAAAACCAAAAAAAACAAAACATGATCGACCCACGAACCCGGAAAGGAATACAGAAATGTAATGCATGGCAACATTTCAAAGACACCTGATTGGGCGACGGGCACATGCAATGCTGAATGTATCGATGATAATGTACTGTGCCGAGGGCTGTGCTGTGCTACGCCGTGCTGAACTGCGATGTGCCATGCCGCGATTGTGCTCTATATAGCGTTGTGGATCGAGTCCTCCCTGGCATCCGAGTCCTCACCGAACTGATCTGGAGCGTAAGCTCGAGCTGCCTGAGCAGATGGTAGCTGCCCCAGAACTAATCGACAGAGGGAACATGCCAGGAGGACGCGCCGCGGAACGTCCCAAGGGACGCGCCAGGCGACGTGCCAGGGGACGTGCCATGGGCACGCACCGCGGGACGTGCCAAGGGGACGCGCTACGGAACGTGCCAATGGACGTGCCGAGGGACGTGCCAGGGGACGCGCCGCGCGACGTGCCAGGTAGACTCGCCACGGAACGCGCCAAGGAACGTGCCAAGGTGCATAGTTGAGTGTATCGATCTTGATGTACCGTGCCGACGGCTGTGCTGTGCTGGGCCGTGCTGAACTGCGATGTGCCATGCCGCGATTGTGCTCTACATAGCGTTGTGGATCGAGTCCTCCCTGGCATCCGAGTCCTCACCGAACTGATCTGGAGCGTAAGCTCGAGCTGCCTGAGCAGATGGTAGCTGCCCCAGAACTAATCGACAGAGGGAACATGCCAAGAGGACGCGCCGCGGAACGTCCCAAGGGACGCGCCAGGCGACGTGCCAGGGGACGTGCCATGGGCACGCACCGCGGGACGTGCCAAGGGGACGCGCTACGGAACGTGCCAATGGACGTGCACCGCGCGACGTGCCAGGGGGACTCGCCACGG